AGCTGGTCGAAGAGGCGGGTTAAATGTTAGGAACAAAAACTTCCAGAACACGGCCAGACAGCCCGGAAGACCCACATCAGCCATCGTATTCCAGCCGTGAAAGCCTTCGACAATACAAAGCTAAAACAATTAATAAATACCTCAAACAATTATAATTACTATTATTAAAAAATTAAAAACTATAGAAAACAAAGCTAAGACAAAGAAGTAGTAAGTGAAGGGATGTTAATAATAATGAAGCCACCTCACTAATTTGCCAGTCCCCTGATGGCACAACTGGCCTGATGGCACAACCAGGTTTTGAGAGACCGGCAAAAGATCAGAAGTGATGGAGCCAGCCTCACCTTAGTGGGGAGAATATTCTACAATACAGGCACCACAGCAGAAAAGGCCTGCCACCTAGGGCCACCAAAGCTCCCTTGACTACAGAACCTGTAACATGTCCGCTCTGCTGGATCTGGTGGGATGGGCAAATGTAGTTGGGGAGAGGCACTCCCTAAGGTAACCCAGTCCCATGCTAAGTAGGGCTTTAAAAGATCAATACCAGCACCTTGAATTGGACCCAGAAACAAACTGGTAACCAGTGCAGCCCACGAAGCAGATGTATAATGTGTATTCTACCAGAAACACACATAAATGCTCACACTGCTGTATTTTGCACCAGCTGAAGTGTCTAGATACTCTTCAAGGGCAGTCCCATGTAGAGGACATTACAATACTTCAGCCAGAAGGTGACCATGAGTAGGGCTTCTCAATCTAGGAATGGGTGCAACTGGTGAACAATACAAAGTTGTACAAAGGCCCTCCTAGGCACAGCTGCCACCAGCTCATTGAACAGGAGTTATGAGTCCAGGAGGATCCCCAGATTGCACACAGGGCCTGTTTGGAGCAGTACAACTCCATCCAGCACCAAAGATGGCATAGTCCTAGAACCAGAAGACCCCAAAACCTAAAGCCATTCAGTCTTCTTAGGGTTCACTTGAAGCCTGCTGTTCCCCATCCAGATGCTCACAGCCTCCAGACACCAGG